GAATATATATATTTCATCTTATATAATACTGCTCCAATGAAAATTTGCCAATATAAGAAAGCATCATAAAACAATTATTCAATAAATCGTTTTCCAAGTCGGATCTCGGGAAGCAAGGGGGTTGATAGCATAGCTGTAATTAATCGACCTGCGTGTGGCATGAACAATTAAAAAAATAAATAAAATAATAATAATAATTATAATAATAATAATAATAATAATAATAATAATAATAATAATAATAATAATAAAAAGAATAATAATAACTAAAAATGTTTTAATAATAATGACGGGAAATAATAATAATAATAATAATAATAATAATAATAATAATAATAATAAAAATAATAATAATAATAATAATAATAACTAAAAATGTTTTAATAATAATGGCGGGAAATAGTAATAGTAATAATAATAATAATAATAATAATAATAATAATAATAATAATAATAATAACTAAAAATGTTTTAATAATAATGGCGGGAAATAGTAATAATAATAATAATAATAATAATAATAATAATAATAATAATAATAATAATATTAAAAGTGATATATAATAATTTAAAAGTGAATGATAAAGTCGTCCCCTGGACCCTGGATGACGTACATTGGCAAACCAGCACAAACTTTCTCTGTTCCCTAGGAAGTGTACCTAGTCGTTCGCTATTTCTTTAGCACACGAAACTAGTATACACTTTTATTTTATAAGAACCAGTAAAATTTTGCCCAGGCTCAGTGTTCTTATTTTTGACCGATTTCAGGCTCAAAATTATTTTACACACTTTTCAACCTTAAAAGTACTACAGTATACACTGTACTGTACTGAAATGTAGGTATAAGTCGCCCTGGAAAAAACTGCCCCTTAAAAAAATGCCTGGAAAAAATGGCCCAAGAAAAAAGGCTGTGCTCAAAATGACTCCAACAGACAGGAGGTACATCTACTGTACTGTATTATAGAGAGTATTGTATAATCACACCTACCGAACTTAAGGTACAAATAGGTCTATATAAGTTTTTGGTTTTTTTCTTAATAAAAATTTCATTTGACATTTTACCTGAGCCTGAATTTGTTCTTATTTTGTTCTTAATTTTTAAGCAATTTCAGCCTCATTGTTCTTATAAAGTGTGTTCTTAAAAAGTGTAATTATTTAATGCCACAACATCCTACCAGTTACCCGTTAATATTCCTAGGTAGAAAAAGACAAACGTAGATAAAGTGCCTTACTGACCTCCTAATCACATCTGGAATCAATCCGCTGCTGCCAAAACAGATTCCTACCACATTCTAAAGTATACCTATCCCATCAGACATTGCAACAGGAAACAAAACTAAGATATCTCTATTAACATAGATATCTCTGTTAATAGAGATATCTTAGTTTTAAATAGAGATATCTTAGTTTTAAATAGAGATATTTCTTTTAAATTAAAAACTAAGATATCTCTATTAAAAACTAAGATATCTCTATTTAAAACTAAGATATCTCTATTTAAAACTAAGATATCTCTATTTAAAACTA